GGCACGCTATAAGGGAGGAAATAAAGTCGCTCCAAGCCATCAGCAGAGAATACAAAAGTAGAAAACCGGTGTGGGCAAAGAGGGTTGTTCAACACCCTGCTGAGAGAGAGGAAATAAACACTTCCATATGCGATCCCTGCCAGAAATGCTTGTGCGTGCACACACACACACACACACACACACACACACACGCGCGCACACACAGGGTGTCTGGAGTTAATGCAGTGACACAGTGTTGTAAATTTGAGCACGAGAGTTGTAGTTAACAGCTCGCACCTCCATACGAATGGGATGGAATATTTTCTGCTTCCAGAAATTTATAGCTGGTAAGGCCTCGTCCATCACGGGCAGCTCTGTGATATAATGAAGCTTGGAAAGAAATACACTGCTGCGAAGCTGTAAGACTGGAGTTTCCTGACTAGTCAGGTAGCAAAATGGCTGGTGAAGAGGAATCCAATCTTATTTCTTGTGTGTGTGATTGTGCCGACTAAAAGGAACACACACCATAACTTCTGCCTGGGGAAACCCGTGAACTCTGGGCCACTGTGCCATTGGTCATGTCCAGAAAACAAACATTAACAGTCACTTGCATTACAAACACTTCTGAGAAACGTCACTGGCTACACTTCCTAGCATAACACAATTACTATTATCAGTATACACTTCATCCACCCTCAACTTTAAGCCTAAATACAATCCCGACTGTAGATCATATACAGTATCGTTAAAGCGTCCAGCTTAAGTACTAACACCAGCGCGGGCACGACATTAATCTGGTCCCATCTCAAAGCCTCTCTGATGTGATTGTGTGTTCCTATAAGCATGTGTGTATCATCCATAGTTTGTTTACATATGTGGAGCAGACAGTCATCTTCTTAGGAAGATTAGCCATAAAGAAGTTCCAGGGTTGATCAGCTGGTGAAGTTTTTTTTATAATGTGCATGCTTGCTTTCAAACACAGCACTCTGTCTCTGCAGTACATGTGTGTGTGTGTATTAAACTACATTGTGACAGAGTCATCAGCTGCTTGTTTCGAAAGGGTGAAGAGTTAAGAGTGCATGTCCATGTTTGTAATAGTCCCTAATTACATAATCCAGTTATTCTCCCACAGCTTCAGTACACACTGAAGTGGACATCTGATGGTTTGGCCTCAGCAGTGGTTCTAAGGGTGTGTCTCCTGCAGTGTGTGTGTGTGTGTGTGTGTGTGTGTGTGTGTGTGTGTGTGTTGCTTTCTCACCGATACCCAAAACAAACATAACATAAAAAAACTCAGCAGTGGAGCTGGTTGCAGCTCCTTATCAGCTCAGATTAGAAATGCCCTTGCATGCTCACAGGTCTATAGAAAGTCCAGACAACACAGTATTCAGTATTGGAAACCCTCCCCCCTCCTCTTTATAGAGCTGGCAGTCAACATGAAAGTCTGAGTGTGTATCAGCGAGCCAAGACAACGAAGCAGTACCTCTCCTCACATCTCGCTTGATTAAAGTGAGAAAATGGCACAAGCTCCGGGTAAAATTAGGTGACTTAGATTTTACAGATGGCCCTTGTTGCCAAGCATATTTTCTCAATTAAGGCTGATTAGGGAGGGGAAATTCCCTGACAGCGTGAATTATTAAAAACTTGAAATGGAGTCTGATCATGTGACGTTGTACAGCAGTGACACCCGACATTCCCAGATGAATGAAGAAAACGAAAAAGGGATGGGGGGGGGGGGTGGTGTTCTGATTAGCCCAAAGTGAGAACAGAATCTCCTTCCTATCCTAATAAATCATTACAAACTAGAGAGAACGGGTCTGGACTTGTGCTGGCGATTCCCTAGAAAGTGATTAAAAAATAATAATTGACCAGTTACTTCCTGTTTACAGGAAGGAAAGATCTTAAAGCCTAACACTCCACAGACAAACTACTGAAAACACAAGGGCACCAATCGCATCAGTTCCTTCACTTTTCCTTTCTATTCCACGCCCTCAGCAGGGCGACGCATGGTAGCGAGGCTTCTGCTGCTACAGCTCGACTAGATTTGCTTCTTTGCTGGAATCCCAAACATTTTGTTTACGCGCGTTTGACAATCCATTTCAGTTTGTTTTTGCTTCTTCACAGCGGCGCCACTGTTGGCATTAATCGGCATGTGATTTCATGGCTTATTTCTATCTAGTTGGTTACTGGGTTCAAGCAGCAGTCACACTGCGAGACAGTCAGGCCTAGAATTTCACCACAAAAAAGAAATCGGGGTGTTAGTCAGCACATCAGCTGCCATATTTTACCTTTCGACCCCACTTTGGACTGTGTGAGAATACACAGACTGAGAATGATCGACGACTTCTTCTTCTTCTCTCGCTGTTCTTGTATTATTGTTCCTTCTTAAACGAGTCATTTGGACACGACACAGAAGGGAAAACATGGGCGTGAACTATAAAAACTTTATTTGAACAGAGACATTGTAAATTATATAAATAACACTCAACAGCATAAAATGGCTGCTGTGAAGTCAAGCCAACAGAATTCTGTGATGTTTTGGAGTCACCGGCAAAGCTACCCACCCACAGGTATAATTTAGCTGGTAAGTGAAAACAAGACCTTAAAATCTGGAGTGTCAAAAATATGGTCCAGGAGCCAGAATTGGGCCAGCAAACACTCCAATACAGCTCATTGGATGGCTTTGGAAAGGGAACTTCTGGAGTTTTAATTGACTTTATTTCGTTTTACAGCTTTACATATTAACAAAGACGTCCCCCGTGGCCACACTGTTGAAATAGCATTTCTTTAAATGTGTAGTTAAACTTCTGTGTAGTGGCAGAGAGGACACTTTCACTGGTCTGGCCCATGTGAGATCAAAAACAGGCTTTCTGTGGTCCACAACATAATATCAGTTTGACATCCCTGCCTAAATAAATAAATAAAGTACATCATCTGTGCCACAATAAAGTTGCAAAATTCCAAAGACACGTTTCTAAATTTAAAGACCAAAGCTTGAAAGTTTCAATTCAAACATTACCACTCACAGTTAATTTGACTTGATAGCCAAACCTCAGTCTGAAGTGAGGAACTAATCGGTGGAATATGATTGAGCAGCATTTGTTTAAAATGAAAATCTGCTCTCGGAGCACGCTATTGTAAATAAATCTGAGCACCCAGAGGTAGCAGTGGCCTTTAGCATTGTTAAAATAAGCCCTCTGCTCCTCGTCTCTAAGAGGATGTTCAGATATTCAGTACCAGGTTTCCTTTATAATAAAAGATGTTGCGCAACAACAGAGCACCACACCTTAAGAACAGTGCACGATGATGATCGGAGGACTGTCCTGAAATGAATGAGAGAAGCTACACATTAACCAAAGCAACCTCAGAGCAGACCCACCAGCACGGCCGGCGGCCTTCACAGGTTATCTACATGTAAGATCGCCCTTGAAAAGAGTTGTTGCTCTTTTGTCCGTGTCTAAAAGAAGTCTCTGCGTGTCCCGGGCTGACTCCCGAGCATCCCTTCAGCGGTTTGCGTTGCCACGCTGGGAGCCTGTCAGAGCGGCTCAGTGTCAAACCTCCCAGCCCCGCTGAGTCAAGATGACCATAAACCGAAGGCTAGAGCAGCCACACTGGCCGGATGCTCGCATTTTTGTAAGGTGCCTGATGTTCCCTTTCCTGTTAGGTGTTAAAAGAAATGCTCCCTGTCGAGCCTGTTTGAGAAGTCATCAGGTAAAGTATAGGAAACAGACACATCTTAAGAAGGCCTAAATGAATTTAAAGTAGCACCTCTAAGCATTACTGCTCCTAGTGCTGGATGTAATTCTCCAGTAGGTTGGAATGTACGCAATATGTTGGACTTTCTTCACCATTTGTGCTTCCTCAACAGCTGGGAAAGTCAGAACACACAAAGGAAATCTGAATAAACAACGTGTGTGAAGCCTGTGGGGTTTCCATGTCCCTGAACCAGACAGGTGGCATTCCCTGTTGGGGAGAAAACCAGGCCCGGCTACTTCAACTTAAAAAAAGAAAAAGCCATTCACAAATCTGCCAATTAAATGTGACATTAAACGGTTCCGCAGTTATTAAATGTCACAACTTCCTCAAGTTTTAGTATTCATTGTAAAGTTCTATGGGTTTATTTCAACTGAAAATTAACCTCAATGAATCAAAAGTTTCCATTTAGATGAAGCTGTTTAAAAAAAGAAAGCAAGAAATCAAACTTGGCACAAAACCCGTTAAACGCACACCAATAAAAGCGCAGAAGTTTTGCAGCCTCACCTTTTGTCTTACCTTGCCTGACAGTTTTAAACCTGGCGGGTCCTTTGCAGTTCTTTAGCACGGTGTATATGTCGTACAGGGGTAATCCCGAAATCGAGAGATTCTCCACTTCGAGCAGCAGCTCCCCTTCACCCAGTTTCCCACTTTTGTACACCACCGCATTGTGGTTCAGCGGTCCAATGTAGGCGAACTCTCCGTTCTCCGCGCCGCCACGCAGCGGCACGTTGAGCTCACCGCGGGCATCTTTGGACACGGAGACCTCGTTCAACCTGGAGGTCCAGTGGTTCTTCTTCAGCGCGGGTTTGGACATTGCGAACAGTTAACGAGCCGACGCCAAACCGGCCGGACTCTGCCACCGGGGTTGGGGGGGGAACACAGTCACAGCAGTCCCTGTCTCTCTCCTGCTCGTTAAAAAGTAGATTTGTATCCGAGGGACGCGCAGAAAACTTTCTTTCTCTCCCACAGAAACATGAGCGCCTCTGACAGTACAGGTCCCGAATCAAGCCATTCCTGCCAGCGCTGAAATCACTCCTTGCTGTGCGGTTATTCTCATCACTTTTCTTAACATCCCCTCCGGTTTAATCCTCCTTTACTGTTGTCATCCTACATCTGCCACGCTCCCACTCACGGCTCGCGTCCACTTCTTAAATCCTCTCGGTTGTTTTCAAAACTCACTTTTAAAGGTTTTCCTTCCTCTCTTCCTGTTAAAAGAGACTTCACTCCTCCTCTGCCCGTATCCGCAGACCCCACTTTATCCACAGTCGACTGCGTCCAGAACTCCTTTAACCAGGTACGTCGCTCTGGTGCGTGGAGCTGAAAATCATTCCCACTCTGGTGCTGGGGATGTGTTGCTGTCCGTGCTGCGTTCAGGTGCTGTCGGATTTTTATGCGTTCACGAAGAGGTCACGTGAATAACCTGTGCGAACTCTTCACTCGTCCACAAGCCACAGATACTACAGGTCATTTCCCAGTGTTTCAGCTTGGTTGTAGTTTGAAATTTACATTTAACTTATATGTAATTATGATGGAACTTATAAAAATATGGTACAGTGTGTGTAATGCTCTGTGGTAATAATGTTCGACACCTTTAAATCACGACTGTAACCTAACGTAGCGCCTAAATTGACACTTCACTGTGGACTCAAGTACGCGACTTAAATAATTTATCATCGGGCACAAACCTGACGAAATGACCCTTCACGTGTTTTCTTTAAAGACCTCTCTGCGTGATTTACAACATTAGTATTTACAGTATCAACATGGTCACGGTGAGTTGAAGTGCTGTCAAAATAACTTCGAGGACCGAATGTCAGACTCCAAAAAGGGTATTTGAACGCAGCGCTATAAAGAGCGCATGCGTGCTGCTGTAGGGAGAAAGAGGTATTTGGCTTTCCCTAAATTAGAGCCTGGTGTCAGTTTGTTTATTTCAGTCGGTTCAAATTAAATTAAAGTGCGCTTCCTGGTAAAATTATAGAATGTGCAGTATCCATCGAGCTTTGATACAATGAATCTGACTGAAATGCTGATTTCCTAACATAGTGAGTCAGAGGTTAACCCTGTGATCACGCATACGTCTGGAATTCTTGTATTTCAGGTTAGACAGGTGTCAAACCATGTTTTAATGTTTGGCTGAAACCTCCCCTCTCTGCTTATGCAATCTCTTTACGCCTGAGACGGTACTATTTACATACTTAGTTGTATCCCTAGCTACTGTTTTTGTTAAACACAAATACTTGTTGATCCACATCTAAGAATCTGAGAGATGCTTAAAAATAATAATGGAGATGGACATATATAGATAGACTGCCTAATGGAATCACATGTGCCGGGCTTCTCACCTTGGGAGCGGCAGATGAACTTTTTTTTTCCAACCTAAAAATAACAGTAAAGCACTCTTAGTCCCAGCAGATAAAAAAAAAAAGAGAGAGAAAACTAGTGGCCTGGATGGGACGGGGAAATAGTAAATGCACTTATATAGCTCAAACTGTAGCTTTCCCTCATCTTCATCCATTATTAGCTGCTCATACATGAAATGCACGATTAATATTTGTTCCGTTCAGTGCAGGTCCGTTTCCAGGGGAAATTCTCTTTGCAAGCAAGTGATGAACAACAAACATTAATATGGAAAAAGTACTTAAAACATGACACAGGGCCCAAGTGTCATAAATTATAAACACCTTCATTCATCCACAGTGCACCATTAAACTAAACAGCCCTAACATTGCATTGCTAACTATGCCATAAAAAATGCATTAACCAGAGGTAAGCTATTATGTAGTACAAGAAACAAAGTTTGTCCTTTTCCTGAGAGACACGGTTATACTTTTAGTGGTGCTGATGAACTTAGAATAGGAGAGGATAGAGGATAGCACTTCTTCTTTTGTCTTCCATTTGACCGTCTTCCTCAGTTTTTTTAAGAACACACTACGAAAACACTGGTTCAACCCTTTAGCCCAATGTTAAATGGCTTAACAAACAAACAAAAAAACGTTTCCCTGGAAAGGGTCAGGTACAATGACTGAACCGAACATGAGGGAAAAGCAGCTGATGTACAAAGAAACACTTTGGAAACATCCCTGACCTGCCACAGTAGGTTGGTTGGTATTGGTTGGCCCGTTGGCCTCCAGGAAAATGGAGTAGGGTTGGTTCATGGAAGTTTTATTCATGAAGTCAGGGTTAACTCTGAGATCATGCCTGCCTGAAGTCCAGTAAGAAGGAGGATGCTAAGGGGTTAAAAGAAGTTTAAGTGGTGGTGACTGGGTTTATGTATGCACGTTTGTGTCTGCATGTGTATATGTGCCAGTAACTTCTAATGTGACCTCCGTGGGGGTCAGCCAGCTCCTCTGCCAGCTTCCTGTCATACAGTGTCACCCAAATCAGATCGACAGAGGCAGACACAGTGCCACGGGCCCAAAGTTTCCTATTCCCTTTCCACACATCCATCACTCTGTATATGTCAACATCTTCTGCCTTAGCTTTTGCAGCCTCTCTCTATTTGACTGCCACGTTCTCTCTGCCTTTCACTCGCTCGCAAACACGAACAAGCCACAAACCATTGGTGGCATCACAGTCATTGTTTCGGTATACCTACGCAGTCAGACAGCCATTCTCACGTTTGTCATTTTGCAACCGTGCATTATAAGTTCTACAATACGTCCAGTTTCACACATGTAACACAAAGCTGCTGATTATGTGCAGATTCTGTGGAGTTATTTATAAAAGTTATTACCTTGTCACTGAGAGCTCTCATTAAAACAGCACTTGCGTACGCTCGCACTCTGCCGTTGTGCCCCCTTGTTATGACAGCATTTAAAGAAGAAGACACAGATAAGAATGGTTTGCGTGTCATAAACTATTATTAGCCACCGTATTCATTCACTCTGCGTGATGAGCTTAGCGATACCGCTGACAAGTAACGGCAGCTCGCGCTTAATGGCCAACAGTAATAAAGCACCCTTCAAATTTGACAGCTGTGCTCAGATGACTTTGGGACCGCTCTGTGGCAGACCTCCACTATTAGTAGCTTTCATTGTGTGCACAGCGGCCGAGCCATCCATCACTTCTGATTTTAGGTTGTGTAATGTGACACATGCATCGTGGACACGGAGGCTGCCCCTTAGGATCTCTAATGGGTTAGCATGATCTCAAAATCCTAAGTCTGTAAAGTTTTTTCGAACCTGTTTTCTGTTTTGAGGGATGAATTCATCTGTGCACCATCCTCTATGCCAGGGGTGGGGGAACTCCAGGCCTCAACGGTCGGTGTCCTGCAGGTTTTAGATGTGTCCTTGATCAAACACAGCTGATTTAAATGGCTAAATTACATCCTCAACATGTCTTGAAGTTCTCCAAAGGCCTGGTAATGAACTAATCATTTTATTTGTGTGTTGACCCAGGGTGAGATCTACAACCTGTGGGACACTGGCACTTGTGGCCTGGAGTTCCCCACCCGTGATACATGCCAAGAGGAAGAAAATGAGGTTCGGGGATGGAAACCTAGCAGCACATGCTTGTGTATATCTGAGCTGATTGCGTACTGATGTACAAGTTTGCACATCTGCATCATAATTCACGAAAACCGTGCAAACCTTCCCTGAGGTCTACATCACTGCATCATAGTCGAACCCACTGAGCAGCTCCCAGCATTGTACAGCAAACGGGTTTTGTTCAGGTCACGTCAAAGCTGACCTGTGACCTTTCTGTGCTCATCACTTAACAAGCTCTGCAAATGAGGAGGATCATTTTTCTGCTTTAGATGTCACTTTAATCTGTTTTACCTCCGTGCTCTGATAATGCCTCATTCATCATAATAGCCACAAAGCATTGATGGCAAAGCGAGAGAGACGGAGAGCGAGGCAGGCCGAGAGGGAGTGAGTGAGAGAAAAAGAGCACAATCCTACTTTTAACTAAAGCAGAGCTGCAAAGCTCAGTGTTGCCCTGGAAGATTAAGGATGAATGGCTCAGCACAAAAAGGCCAACAGATTATCAATGGGGCTGCAGAGAGCTGTCATATCAAAGCTGGTGACAGGAGGGGAAGAGGCTGGGGAGTCAGTACAGAGACTAATGAGTTACTTGGAATAGTTACTGTAAGCTGTGCTGTGCTGGAGCTCTACTGTACTAAAATGCACTCTGAATTGAGGTCTTTTTTTACTAAGGGCCAGACAGGAGAGGAATGAGTAAATTGTCCACATTCAGCATATTAAGGAGCCTAAATAAACGTCAGCACATTCTCAAAGTTGGCTGTGATCCCAAGAAATAAAACACAGGCTGGATCTGGATGCTGCGAATGTTTGGCTTAAGCGTCACTTTGATATAGGAATAGCCCAGGCTTCCAACCAGTGTTTTTAATACCTGCAGGAAAACGTCGTCTTTAAATTTCTTGTGTGCATAATTGTATTTGGATGCAGGAATGGTTGCATTTAAGCCCATCTGGGTTTCGAATATGCATCGCTCTAAAGGAGATAATTCAGTTGGAAGGTGTGTTTTGTTTTGTCGCTACGACAAATACACCTCGGCACGCTCAGGTCTACAAATGAGTTTTACTCTTGGACACCCTGAATATAAGAACCTCCAGCTACTGTTAACTTGCTAAACACTACTACTGCCTGCTTTAATGATGCCTTCAGATGTATGCCATATGGGTCATCATGTCAGCACTCTGTATTGCCCTCCAAAGCTCGTCCTGTCAGTGGGAACCCAGAGAGGATCATCTCCTTTTTTGGACTGGCAGCTGAGCAGAGTTAAGTGTCTTTTTCTTTTTTTTATCTGTAATTTCAGGACCTTATGAAGGGGGACTGGCTACATTTAAATAAAGAGACCAGGACATTGGTGCATTTACTTCAAATTAAGAAGTTCTGCTTGTTGCACTGACTTTTCTCATTTAGAAAAAGAAAGTATATGTTCTGCACCAGTGCACATATGGTTTTATTGTATTGACATTATCCAGATTAAAGGCTGTCACTGATGCTACTCACAGTTGTGTTTGGTAACAGTGAATTTTTGGTGTTAGCTTTAATTTAATGTTTGCAGTCACAGTTCCACAATAGACATTGGACTTAATTTGAGCTGTTACAATTGAGGAAAAAATCCTAAGTTCACCCACTTCCAAAGAAATGAACAGTCTCTATTTTTTATGGAAGTTTTATTTTAATGGATAGAGTGAAATAAGTATCTGATCCCAAAGATTTGCCATGTGCCCATGTGACACACAGGCTCAAGCAAGTAAGCAATCAAATAATCCTGATCTCAACTTATTATGTGTCCACATAATCAATTTCTCCCATTACAACCTCTCCACCATCATGGGCAAGACCAATGAGCTGTCAACGGATGCCGGGTACAATATTGTA